TATCATGATTCAAGCACTTGTAGTGGGTCAAAGGGTCATCATTGATCTAGTCTAAACTTTAGCGTACTTGTATACCATTAAATTTAGTATTAACATATCATAAAAGTTTATCTTACAGTGTATATGACTAGTTAGTCTTGGATTTAATAGCTAATTGTTGCCTAAAAGCACAAGTACTTGATCTAATTGGGTGTTTGGGATTGATTGTTGATATATAGAGTTCAATTTGATGAGGGTTTCAACTGTACATCTTTTTGTCCTATAGATCACTCTATTCAAGAGCATGTCCTTTATCTTCTAAGAGATTGTTTTCATGTTATACAAGTTTAAATTATTAGTTTTATGATTGGCTTTATATTAATTGCAATGTAGAGTTTTTATATTGCTTGATTTTTTATAAATTTTTGTTAGACTATTTGAAAGAGTAAAAATAATGAGAGATTTTCATATAGGAATATATGTTTCTTCATGCTTATATTTGGCAAGTTAGACATGATTTTAATGGTCGTGAATTAGTCTTTACTACTGATAATTTTAATATCAATTAACCTATTCGATTAGTGTCTAGATTCTTCCATAACAAAGATAAGTAAAGCTTAACATATATAGAAACTTTCTGGATGGTCTATTTTGAAACCATCTTGATACTTACTTTATAAGGTTTTTTTTTATTAATATTGTTGTGTTATTAACATGGTGGAAAAAATCTAAGGCTTATGGCAAGGTCTTTTATTAACTAAAGAAGTTGGTTACTCTCATGTTCTTATTATTTGAGATGAATCTTTTAGAGGTTTTAAAGCGTATTTATATTATTTCTCTTTTTTTCTCTCATCCTCGTTTAATGCTTATTCTTAATATTCAAAATCCTTTTTTATAGAGCATAACAATCTCAAAATCTCAATGTTTTATGAAAAAACAACATGACAAAGTCTAAAGTTTGGAGCAAATTTATAAAGATATCAAGGTTTTTCCATGATAGATTGATGGGTTTCGAGAGTTGATGAATAAGAGCCTGGTTAAAGATTCACAAGATCTTAAAAATATGTTTCAAATAACATGTAGAGACCCTACGATGCTTAAATTAGTAAAAATATAGAAGGAATGTTAACTTAAAGGTTATATATGATATATAATGAATGCTAAGAGAAAGTGTTATTTTTGTATTGATGGTCCTTTTTCTTTGTCCTAATAATTAATGGGAATTTATACGTACATGAATCATACTAACTAGCATGGAGTAAAGGGTAAAAAAAAGAATATAAAATGCCCTGAACTTTTTATACAATTAATATCTTTTTAATTATTTTATACAAGAAATTTATGAGTATTTTTTATATATCATAAAGACATCATCAAGTTCACTTTTCAATAATTATAACCACAAGTACATTAATATATAATTTATACTTAAATACTAGTGCCATTACAATGTCTTATAAATTACATGCATAAACTTGTCTATAATACAATTATTATATAACATCAAGACCAATATAATAGTGAAGGTTAAGCAGCTTAATAGAATTTTCTAAAAGCATCAAGGCCTTCAAAAAAAGACTTGTAAAACACACAAGATCATAAATTTGAAAAAAATAGAGAAAAAGAAGTTGTAATTTCTATATCTCTCTCTATTTTTTTATTTGTTGAATTGCTATTAAGATTGTTAAAATTGAGTTTATATTTGAGAAATAATTAGATTATTTTATTAATTATGATTTGCTAGCTTTCTTAATAATTAGTTTATGTTTGACAAGATTATTTTATTATATCATTAAAATTTTGATACGATGTAGTCATTCAAGTCTTGACATGATTTGAATATGCTTGTATTGAACATCCTTTGTTAATTGTAATTGGATGATTTCAAATTTTATTCTTGTAATTTATTGACCATGAATTGCATTCTTAAAATGTTGAATGAAGTAATAAAAGTTAAAATTTAATGTTAGTTCATGAATTCATCAAACCTTAGTAGTGTAGTTTAGAAATAAATACACAATTTTATGACTTATATTTAAGAATTTCACAAAATATAATGAATTAATATTAATTTTTATTATCACAATGATATATATAAGAATAATATAGGTGTAGGTGTTATATCTTGAAATAAGATATCACATATAAAACTTGAGAATTTGGTCATTGTAATTAGCAAAACATTAATGCAAGTAACCAGGTTTAAACTCAAAGCTCTGGGAACATTTCATATTTGATTTTTCAAGTAGAAAATTTTGTTGTCAATCCCAACAATTTAGGATTGTCTAAATAATATATAGGATTTTATATATTGGTACTTGAATCATTTTCTTGTGAAAATGATACTCTTTTGATATATTCTATTTATCATGATTCAAGCACTTGTAGTGGGTCAAAGGGTCATCATTGATCTAGTCTAAACTTTAGCGTACTTGTATACCATTAAATTTAGTATTAACATATCATAAAAGTTTATCTTACAGTGTATATGACTAGTTAGTCTTGGATTTAATAGCTAATTGTTGCCTAAAAGCACAAGTACTTGATCTAATTGGGTGTTTGGGATTGATTGTTGATATATAGAGTTCAATTTGACAAGGGTTTCAACTGTACATCTTTTTGTCCTATAGATCACTCTATTCAAGAGCATGTCCTTTATCTTCTAAGAGATTGTTTTCATGTTATACAAGTTTGAATCATTAGTTTTATGATTGGCTTTATATTAATTGCAATGTAGAGCTTTTATATTGCTTGATTTTTTATAAATTTTTGTTAGACTATTTGAAAGAGTAAAAATAATGAGAGGTTTTCATATAGGAATATATGTTTCTTCATGCTTATATTTGGCAGGTCAGACATGATTTTAATGGTCGTGAATTAGTCTTTACTACTGATAATTTTAATATCAATTAACCTATTCGATTAGTGTCTAGATTCTTCCATAACAAAGATAAGTAAAGCTTAACATATATAGAAACTTTCTGGATGGTCTATTTTGAAACCATCTTGATACTTACTTTATAAGGTTTTTTTTTATTAATATTGTTGTGTTATTAACATGGTGGAAAAAATCTAAGGCTTATGGCAAGGTCTTTTATTAACTAAAGAAGTTGGTTACTCTCATGTTCTTATTATTTGAGATGAATCTTTTAGAGGTTTTAAAGCGTATTTATATTATTTCTCTTTTTTTCTCTCATCCTCGTTTAATGCTTATTCTTAATATTCAAAATCCTTTTTTATAGAGCATAACAATCTCAAAATCTCAATGTTTTATGAAAAAACAACATGACAAAGTCTAAAGTTTGGAGCAAATTTATAAAGATATCAAGGTTTTTCCATGATAGATTGATGGGTTTCGAGAGTTGATGAATAAGAGCCTGGTTAAAGATTCACAAGATCTTAAAAATATGTTTCAAATAACATGTAGAGACCCTACGATGCTTAAATTAGTAAAAATATAGAAGGAATGTTGACTTAAAGGTTATATATGATATATAATGAATGCTAAGAGAAAGTGTTATTTTTGTATTGATGGTCCTTTTTCTTTGTCCTAATAATTAATGGGAATTTATACGTACATGAATCATACTAACTAGCATGGAGTAAAGGGTAAAAAAAAGAATATAAAATGCCCTGAACTTTTTATACAATTAATATCTTTTTAATTATTTTATACAAGAAATTTATGAGTATTTTTTATATATCATAAAGACATCATCAAGTTCACTTTTCAATAATTATAACCACAAGTACATTAATATATAATTTATACTTAAATACTAGTGCCATTACAATGTCTTATAAATTACATGCATAAACTTGTCTATAATACAATCATTATATAACATCAAGACCAATATAATAGTGAAGGTTAAGCAGCTTAATAGAATTTTTTAAAAGCATCAAGGCCTTCAAAAAAAAAACTTGTAAAACACACAAGATCATAAAAATTAACATAAGTATTTACATAATCTTGATTACTACATTTACAACTAAATAAACAAAATCAATATCATTAATTCTTCAATAAATATGTCAATTCATGTGTTTTTTAATTTAATACTTCCTAAACAACAACTGATAAACTCTTTTTTTTTCTCGCTAAACATATTAAATTTATGTCATTAGACATGTAACTACTTCTTGATTTACCATTTATTTCATGGCTCATTTCAATATAATTTTTCACCGCTTCTTTTATGTTCATCAAAATTATTTCAACATTTTTCATATCTATGTCTTATTTCATCTTATAAGCACATTTATGCTATGCTACTATTTCACAGCACCGTTAATCAATGTCATATTTTGTCTCTCTATTATAATTATATATCTTTGTATATTTCCTGAGCTTTTATTTCATTTCGATCAACTAATTTTATTCATTTGTCATTTTATCTATATAATTTTTTTTTTAAAATACTCAATATACTTTAAATTCATTTTTTCTTACACATACATTTTTTTCATTCTCATATACCTTATACCTAATATAGCCCTTTCAATTATGTCTTTCATCTTTAATATTTATAAGGGATGGCAACAACTATGAGATGACAATGTTTCTATGATATGATATGACAAAAAAAATTAAAATAAAAATTAAATTTATTATGGCTGTAGATATATTTATTGTTGATTATTACAATGTAATTATTATTTTATTTTTATAGTAAAAAATAAATTCTTTGATATTAGATGCATTTTAAACTTTTTTTATAACTCCTTAATCATTAAAGGATTGATTAGGAATATAGTTATTTTTTATATTTATCTTTAAACATAGTAAAGTTATCTAATTATCCTCCAAGTTAAGAGTTCTAAAACTAACATAAAGGGATCTTTTTATTCTTTTGAAATACAATAAAATAATAAGTTTATCTTTTAAATAAAAAATTAAGTATGCACCCAGGGGTCTTTTGGTCTTTTCACTTTGTTAGGTGGAGAAATTTGTTTTAAAATTTAAAATGAGAATTTTTTTTAAATGAATTGGATTTTCAACTACAGATATGGACAATAAGTTTTTAAATTAGAGTAAAAAACAAAAATATTTGTAAAAAATAGGGAAAGAGAAGTTGTAATTTCTATAATTATAGAGTTTTTTTTTCTCTTTCTATTTTTTTATTTGTTGAATTGCTATTAAGATTGTTAAAATTGAGTTTATATTTGAGAAATAATTAGATTATTTTATTAATTATGATTTGTTAGTTTTTTTATTCTAGGGCAACGATGTAGTCATTGAAGTTTTGATATGATGTAGTCGTTGAAGTTTTTACATGGTATGAATATAGTTGTATTGAACATCCTTTGTTAATTGCAATTCGATGATTTCAAATTTTATTCCTGTAATTTATTGACCATGAATTACATTCTTAAAATGTTGAAAGAAGTAACAAATTTTAAATTTCAATGTTAGTTCACCTTAACAGTGTAGTTTAGAAATAAATACATAATTTTATGACCTATATTTAAGAATTTCACAAAGTATAATGAATTTATATTAATTTTTATTATCACGATAATATATATAAAAATAATATAAATATAGGTGTTATACCTTGAAATAAAACTTGAGAATTTGGTCATTGTAATTAGCAAAATATTAATGCAGGCAACCAGGTTTAAACTTATTGAAGAAATTTAATTGATGAAATCCAAGCCCTATAAACCTTTCTTATTTGATTTTTTAAGTAAAAAATTTGGTGTCAATAACAATTTAGGATTGTCTAAATAATATATAGGATTTTATATATTGATACTTGAATCTCTTTCTTGTGAAAATGATACTCTTTTGATATATTATATTTATCATGGCCCATGCATTTGTGGTGGGTGTAAGGATCATCATTGATTTAGTCTAAACTTTAACATACTCATATACCGTTAAATATGGCATCAACATGTCATAAAAGTTTGTCTTACAATATGCATGACTAGCTAATCTTGGATTTAATAGCTAGTTGTTGCCTAGAAGCACAAGTACTTAATCTATTTAGGTGTTTGGGATTAATTGTTGATATATAGAGTTCAATTTGATAAGGGTTTAACCTATACATATCTTTGTCCTATATATCACTCTATTAATGAGGTTGTCCTTCATCTTTTAAGAGACTGTTTTCATGTTACACAAGTTTGAATGGTTACTTTTATGATTGGCTTTATATTAACTACAATGAAGAGTTTTTATATTGCTTGTTTTTTTATAAATTCTTGTTAGACTATTTGAAAGAGTAAATAATGAGAGGTTTTTATATAGGGAATATATGTTTTTTTATGCTTATATTTGGCAAGTTAGACAAGATTTTAATGGCCGTAAACTAGTCTTTACTACTAATAATCTTAATATTAATTAACATATTCGTTTAGTCTCTAGATTCTTCCATAACGAAGATGGGTAAAGCTTAATATATATAAAAACTTTCTGGATAGTCTATTTTGTAACCATCTTGATACTTACTTTATAAGGGTTTTTTTTTTTATCAATATTGGTTGTGCTATTAACATGGTGGAAAAAATATAAAGCTTCTGGTAATGTTTTTTATTACCTAAAGAAGTTGGTTACTCTCATTTTCTTACTATTTAAGATGAATCTTTTAGAGGTTTTAAAGTATATTTATACTATTTCTCTTTTTTTTTTCTCTCATCCTCGTTTAATGCTTATTCTTGAAATTCAAAATCTTTTTTTTTTTTTATAGAGCATAACAATCTTAATGTTTTATGAAAAAACAACATGACAAAGTCTAAAGTTTGGAGCAAACTTATGACGACATCAAGGTTTTTTCATAGTAAATTGATGGGCTTTGAGAATTGATGAATAAGAGCTTGGTTAAAGGTTCATAAGTTCTTAAAAATAAGTCTCAAGTATCATGTAAGGGATCCTACGATGCTTAAATTAGTACAGATATAAAAGGAATGTTGACTTAAAGGTTATATATGATATATAACGAATGCGAAGAGAAAGTGTTATTTTTGTATTGATGGTCCTTTTTCTTTACCCTAATAATTCATGGGAATTTATATATACATGAATCATACTAACTAGCATGAAGTAAAGGGGAAAAGAAAGAATATAAAACGCCCTGAACTTTTCATATAATTAATATCTTTCTAATTGTTTTATACAAGAAATTTATGGGTACTACATTTACAATCAAATAAACAAAATCAATATCATTAATCCTTCAATAAGTATGTCAATCCATGTGTTTTTTTAATTTAATACTTCTTGGACAACAACTGATAAACTCTTTTTTTCCTTGTTAAACACATTCAATTAATGTCATTACACATGTAACTATTTTTTTATTTATCATTTATTTCATGGCTCATTTTAATATAATTTTTCACCCACTTCTTTTATGTTCATCAAAATTATTTCAACATTTTCCATATCATGTTCCTTATCCCCATTGTATTTTATCTATGTCATATTTCATCCTTGTCATTACCCAATAACAAAATAATAAAAATTAAATATAGTTGACAATGGGGTTAAGATAAACACATAATTTAGAAGTTTGAGGACTTAATTGGACTTGAAATTATTTAATTAATGAAATCAAGGACCTAATTGATAAATGTCAGAAGTTCAGGGACCAAAGTGAAAAATAGTCATTCCCAAGGACACAAACGACGCCGTTTTGAAGAGTTGTTCATTATCCCTTCCATTTCGTGCGAAGAAAGCCTATTCAACAGGGAAAACAGCAGCAATTTGATTAGATCATGGACCACTTCTTTTGCCCAGGATCCCACTCGTGGATTGATTAACAGTCCTTTAAATGCAGGACTGTAACAGGGACTGGTTTTAGGGGCAAGCTCTCTGGCTCTATGAAAGGCAGAGCAAAACAAAGGTAAAAGGGGGGAGGGAAGAACAAAAAAAAAACACAGCGATAAAAACGAAGAAAAATAAACCCAGAAACTAGAGGAGGAACAACAAAACATCAAAAGAAAAAAAAAAAAACAAAGCAAAAAAAAGGGAAAAACTCAAGTAAAACCCAGAGGAAAAACCCAGAAAACGAAGAGGGCCACGAATGGCAGACAACAAAACATAACAGGGGAGCGATTGAGAGAAAATTCATAAATAAAAAAAAAATAGAACCGAGGGAGTGAGGATGAAGAAAATAGGGGAAGCAAAAGGAAACAACGTAAAAACAGAAGCGAAAAAAAAGAACAGAAATTAGGGACAAGAGAATAAACAGAGATTATACAGATAGGAAAGCAAATTTTGGCAGCCACTGCACCTTCATCATCGTCTTCTTCCAGACTAGTGCCAGCCGCGATTCCGGTTGCACCACCTTCCCTTCTTCCCCCCGAACAGAGGAGGGAGCATAGGAGATCGATCAAATACCAGAAGTACGAGAACCAACCATTCGCAGGATCACAAGAACAAAGCAGAAGGAGAAGCAGAGCAGAGGGGGTAGTGACGGCCAGCCAGAGCTTCGACAGTCTCCATCGCCTCCGGCCAGCCAGAGCTTCGTCATCGTCTCCATCACCCCCAGCAGAACAAGTAAGCGACCTCTTCTTCTATTTTAGTGAATTAGCATCTACTGAATTTTAATTCACTTGCACAGTGTAGTAACACGCGTGCGTTAGCGTGTGCGTGTTGCTTAGCCCAGCCAAGTCACTGGCATAGGTCAGTGACCGGGCTGGGCTGGCTAGGTCCAGCCCAGCCCAAATGGGTTGAGTTGGACCCAACCCAAAAATATAAAAAATAAAAAAATAATAAAAATTATGTATGCATAAATAAAAAATAAATATGAATTTATTGTTTTTTATTTATTAACGCAAGAGTCAGAATAAAAATACTAATTTATTTCATTGCATTTTATTTAGTTACATAAAAATAAAAAATGTGCATGAAAAACAAAAGATAAAATAAAATAAATTTATTGATTTATTCACTGACGCCAGAGTTATGAATAAAAATACTAATTTATTTCATTGCATTTTATTTAGTTACATAAAAATAAAAAATGTGCATGAAAAACAAAAGATAAAATAAAATAAATTTATTGATTTATTCACTGACGCCAGAGTTATGAATAAAAATACTAATGTAAATTTATTTTATTTTATTCTATTTAGCTACATAAAAAAATTGTGTATGCGTAAAAATAAATTTATTTTGTTTATTCACAGATGTTAGAGTCAGGAATTAAAAAAAATACGGATTTAAATTTATTTTATAGCTACGTAATATTTACCAACGCCAGAGTTGGAAATATCTGTAGTTAAATATTCACAAACGCTATAGTCAGGAATATTACACGCAAAACCATCATTGCATAAACCAATAAAATGTTAGCAATTTATGACAAAACCAACAATGCAGCCTGCCTCAGGCAGGACGTTTAAGGGGTAATAATATCTTTCCTTTTGCGTAATCAGTCCCGTACCATAGAATTTCTGCTGACCAGTCAAGGTTCCTAGTAACCATAATACTAAGTGGTGACTCCTTAAAACAAACTATTCCATATCAAAGAATAGGATACCAGAAATCCATTCTTTTCATGATATATTTAAATTTTTAAGGCAATCACGATGTCAGGTGTAACAATCATATAAGCACATTTATGCTATGTTAATATTTCACAACACCCTTAATCACTGCTATATTTTGTCTCTCCATTATAATTATATGTCTTTGTGATTAATACTTAAAAGTGCATTTTTATCATGGTTTTATATCATCATTTTGCACTTGAA